TAGCCGCGGGATACATTGCAGCGCACAATCATACGATTCTGCCGTCCGCAGTGGATCGCGAATCAAACCGTCACTACAGCCTCTATCAACCGCTAATCAACCGTCAGTCAACCGTCGGTCAAGCGTCAGTCAACAGTGCGTCAATCGTCAGTCAACGGTCAGTCAATCGTCAGTCAACGGTCAGTCACACTGGTCTTCGTCGGAGAAGAGAACTCACGGAAGCGAGGTGGGAGAGGCGATGGAAGTGGGCGGATCGGAAGCAGCGGCCTGCGCCGCCTCTGACATCGCGATTCGCGACTCACACGCTGCCCGCCCCGACTTATCGCCGCCCAACACTTATTTCTAGTCCTGTCTTGCGACTAGACAACTGCCTCCGCCAATGCCTGGGATAGGAATGGATGGTTGACAACAAGAGGAGGTCGTGATGGATGGAAAAATACGCGCTGTAGGACGTTTCGCGCAAAGAACGTCACGTTGTGAATGTTTTTTTTTTCAATATAGTAACGGGAAAATTTCAGTGTTCAATAACCTGTATTTCATTATTTACTGGTTCTGAACAGCTCGCGTTATCATTCGCTCAACAAATATCTTTGGAAAACGTAAGCGAATAAAAATCTTTATTTTCGGAATATTCATGTTCCAAAAAGTTGGCGTCCGTATTATACAAGTAATGTTAACGACGCCTCCTTAAAGTAATATAAACCCCTAAAGAATGATAAGCCGTGCGGTGTTTAGTTGATGCTCTCAGAGTTAGTTAGCGGAATATTGGACTAGTAGGGGATAAGAGAAAAGTACTAGAATATCGAGAAAAAAACATGTAGCCTATACTTGGGACCTATCAGACTCTATATATTTGTACGCTAATGTAAGAAAAATGTCAGCATTCCTTACTGTGTTCTTCAACATCGCGTACAACAGCAGCCGTTGTTCGCCCGTTTTTGCTAACGGGGCTTCGCCAACTTCACGCGCATTGTTTTACCATAACTATGCACCGTTGGCCTAGCCCGAACCTCGATGCCAGCCTAGCACTAGCTAGCTCGCACGCGCCAAGTTACTGTTTGCATGTTTCGCGTATAAGTATTCGCTCATGCCTTGGCTCATACTTTTCACTCGTTTGACACCTAGTGCAATCCTCGCTATCTCGTTCCATGGCACACGTAACGCTCGGCATCAAAACTACTTTCTTTCGGACCGTGGATCTGTGCATCCAAAGAAATCAGCTTTTGATTTTTGCCCTCGATGAAACTCACGCCCATTTGCACCTAGGAGTCGCTTGTTAGAATAGTAGGCACAAGTAGGAGCCATAGCTAGGTAAACCCTAGCTAGGCAAGAGAGAAATGAGCAAAGGAGGGCTTACACTAGCAAGAATGGGGATACAAATAGCAAACCCTAGAAGGGTTGTACTCGCTATAGAGCACCCCACTACAGGCTAGAGCATAATATTCTGACACACCCCATAGCCAAAGTGGGGTGTAATCAGCAGAGCAAGCAAAGCAGTACAAGCTCAGGGTGGATCACAATGTCACCACACATTCTGAGCACAAGTTCAAGAAGCAATAGTTTAAAGTTCACAATTATGAGCAAAGCTAGAGGTAGTCACAGAGGGCAAGTGAGGAGGAGGAGGGCTGGCGAGGGGAGAGAGGAGTGGAGGCGACGACTGAAGCTGCAGACACACGGGCAACAGACGGCTCTGGTGCAGCTCTAGTGGCTACCGGGAGCAAGGGCCCCAGAATACAGGAGTAACAGGCTCTGCGTCTGATCAGCAGCGACAGGAGCAACGGACCCACGGGCGACAGGTGCAACCGGCTCTCTGAGCTACCGGTGGCTATCAGAACCCCCGGAATACAGGCGCTGCAGACGACACGACGGCTGCCTCCACCCAACCTCCTCCAACTGTCCCACACCCCCCAACACACACCCCCTGCTACAACCCCTAACTTCACTCCCACGTCACCCCCCTAGCACCACTTCTTCGGCTCCCCACACACCCACCCCCCTCAGCGGCAGCTGCAGCAGTGGGAGACGGAGGAGGAGGAGGAGCAGGGGACGGCGCACACTCTTGCACCCCCATAACCGCCACCCCCACACTCGCCACCCCCAAACCCTAAAACGGGTGGCACGGGGCAGGAGCGCGGGGGACGGCGCGGGGGACGGCGCGCGGCCCTGGGGCAGGCTGCCCGGGCCGCGCGCGGGCCTGGCGCAGGCCGTACGGGCCGCGCGCGGGCTGTACAGGCCGCGCGCGGGCCTGGCGCAGCCCGTACGGGCCGCGCGCGGGCTTGTCGCAGCCCGTACGGGCCGCGCGCGGGCCTGGCGCAGGTCGCGCGGGCCGCGTCGGGCGACGGGGGGCGACGCGCAGGTCCGCGGGCTCCGTGACGGGCGACGGGGGGCGCTTCGACGGGCGACGGGGCGGTCGACGGGAGGGGGGGTAGCGCGGGTCCCCGGGGTGACGCACGAGGGAGGAAACCGCCGCGCGCCTCGGGGCCACGACGGGCAGAAAACC